TGAAAATGTGCACCTTCGGTTGGCCACCAGAACTCAATCGCCGGCTATGGTATGGCGTGGTGTGGGCCGCCACAGCAGCCGATGATCGCCCTCCGCTCGTGGCATCAGAATAAATGCCTTATATTATCGCGAAAATATTCTGGAGGGTGTATTAAAGCCGTGGGCATGCAAACATTTTGGCTGCAGACCTTGGACATGTCAATAGGACTCAGGACCATTGCACTCAGCGCCACCCAAGAATGGTTACAAAATGAGGTTCCTCGCTTTCCTGACATTTCCAGCGCACAATGGCCACCAAAATCTCTGGATACCAATCCGTTGGACTATGTGTCTGGAGTATTTTGGAAAGCAAGGTTGGCACTAAAAAATGCCAAAGTGTCGATCACCTCAAGCAAGCTCTTCGCTTCGGAATTGACCAAAATACCGCAGAGCAACACTCGGGCAGCGTGTGACGGTTTCATTGGCCATTTGAAGGCCATAATTCATACCAAAGGTGACCGATTCGAACAAATCTAAAGTTATTCTAAAATTTAATGCAATTTCCGACATTTTTGCTTTCATTCAATAAAATTAAAAAAATGTAAAAATTATGGCGTTTGACTTTGTTGCAGTTTTTTTATCTCGCCCTGTTTATGGGAGCTATACCCAAACCTCAACCGATTTCAATATAATTTGGCAAATTTATTTTCTGATCAAATCCCGTCGCACATTCCAAACTTCATTAAAATAGAACATACATATCGTGTTTGGTGCATCAAATAAACGAATACGGTCGAAAAAAAAATATATGGGAGCTAAATCTAACTTTCACGAAAATCTGTTCAGCGGTTTTCGAGTCCATAAATTGCAAACAAACAAACAAAAATGTTCCTCTTTTATAGATATAGATAATTATTCAAATTGTTGGCGCTTAGGTGCTCGATGGTGAAAACGATATTGTACATTTGCAAAGTTTGAACAAACGCGGATGAGAATTTCTCTTTCTTTAAGGTAAAGAATTTTTATTGAAAATTTTGACTTTTTTGTTCATTTTCGAACTTAATCTATGTTTGATGATAATATTACAATGTACCAAATTTTGAACGGAATCGGATACTACCTTCTACAGCCAGACAGACGGAGGAAAGACTGGATAGACTCCAAATGTTCTGAAATGAATTTCGCCCAGACAGAGCTGAGTTATAAATCCGTTATTTCGACGAGACACATTTTGAGTGTATAAACATACCCTCTGTAGCCATAAGGCTGAGTGTATAAAATCTCCAAAAGGTTAAGTAAAGGTAACTTCTTTTAGTTCCTCGCTCCCTTGTTAAAACTTTAAAATATTAAAGATAATCTCTGAAAAATAAAGTTAATAATCTTTGTTTGGAGTCCAAACCCTTTTGCCTGCTTTAAAAAGAAAACTTCGTTGGAAATATTTGCCAAACATTTGTTTAAAATGCCACACCTATGTTACATGAGAGGCAACAAAGAAACATCTACGGCAAACAAAACAAGATTCTGGTTATAACTGGTGTTGTGCGGTTAGACAGTTGTCTTACCCAACAACTTGCCACAGTCTTAGCCTGGAAGGTTTTATAAATTTAAATTTGAATATAACTTCATTAACCATTAGACTTGTCAGATAGCCTCTGTTTTAGATTCGAAAAATGTCCATGTATAGAAGACCAGATTCTGAATTTTTGTACTACGAAATAAAATTTATTTTTTTTTACAATATTTTTCAATGACAGATTTTCACAGAGCAAGAGTTGAGACCCAGAAGATAGAAAACCAACAAAAAGTATTACATCCACAGAAGGTCTGTTAAAAAAATCCTTACGGCCCTGATTACAAATCGGATGGTTAACTCGTACATATTTCATTTCATCGAACAAGACCTAACTAACATCGTGCGTGCAGCAATGCACGCATTGTACACAAAATAAAAGACAGCCATAAAACCACTGAAAATCTTAAAATAAAATCAACTGAAGAAGATGAAAAAAAAGACAAAATAAAACAAACGTGACAATAGTGTGGCAAACATTACACATTTTTCTCAAGAAGTTATTTCTTAAGTCTTTCGTTTTACACGCCACACACACACACCTTAAATAGGCGTGTTCGTTCGTTCGCTTGCTTACAATGGCTAAATTCATTGAAAAGAAAGAACTATAATTTATTCGCTTTATGATTTTACGAAACGGTAACTTAAATCGCCATGGGCTTTGCTTACAACGTGTGGGGTTCTAATTTATATGCCACCCATGGTTTAAGCTGTAACAGCAGTGAAAACTAAACTATTTTTAGTTTCTTTTTCTTTTCTCATTTCTCATTTTGTAAAAAGCTTTTGTTGGGTGTGTGTCTTGCATTTCTAACGAAATGTTCTTTAAATTTACATGTCTTTGGATTTTGCTTCATTTGTACTTTAATGGACTTTGCCAATCTTAACCCTCGATTTTCATAAAACAAAAATATTTTTTCCAATGTGATTTTCATCTTAATTTACTGTTAAGATATTCATAAATTGTCTATGAATTATTAGGGAGGGTCTACGCTGCTGAAGGGAAAGACTCAGGAGACCTGCCCCCTTCCGCTATGGCTACAACTCTGATATTTTTGAAAAAAAAAGGAATATTTATCAGTTGGGCTCCTCCGAAATGGTTTTTAAGGTATTTTTATGTACGTCCTAGGATAAATGGTTAAATTGAAATATGCAAATGCATTTAATTGTTGCCATACCTAATTGGTTCCAGCTCTTAAAACATTGCAATTACTACATAAATGCTTTATAAAGAAATAGGTTTCTTAACATTTATACTCATCTTATGTTGATTTCATTATACACTCAGCCATATGATTCGAGGGGTATATATCATTTGATACGGCCAAGACGTGCCGTACGTAGACCTTAGGTCTCTTTGGACCAAATCCGTTTCACGACATTTGGAGTCGATCCAGCGATGTCCGTCCGTCCTTCAGTGACCTCCCCCACAAAAGGTCGAAATTTTCAAAACAAAAAAATGTGCTACACAGAAAGAGAAGGGATAATCCAATCTTGTTATAACTTTGCAAATTCTAATATTTGAATCAGTTTTTGATCTTGTGCGAAGATGGGATATATCGGTCCACTCCTTATGGTACCTCCCCCACAAAGTATCAGCATTTTGAATACCCAAAAAGCTCATACAACGCGAAATTAATATCCGATTCCCTTCTTGGCACATATCAACATTTCTATCAACACAAGGTCTGTTATAAAGATGGTGCAGATCGGACCATTGCTTTTGGTACCGCCCCCACAAAGGGTCAAATTTTGAATTACCAAAACGAGCATAAAATCCGAAAAAATCAGGCTCTTTTCAAGTTCCGAACATCCCATAATTTCTACTAATACAAGATCTACTGTGAAGATAGGATATATCGGTCCACTCCTTCTGGTACCATCCCTGGCCTTTAGCTCGTCTCTAGAGATTCCCTGGCCTTCAGGTCGTCTATAGAGACTCCCTGGCTTTCAGTTCGTCTCAAGAGACTCCCTGACCTTAAGCTCGTCCCTAGAGACTCCCTGGCCTTTAGCTAGTCCTTAGAGACTCCCTGGCCTTTAGCTAGTCTCTAGAGACTCCCTGGCCTTCAGCTCGCCCCTAGAGACTCCTGGCCTTTAGCTCGTCTCTCCCGCATAGGGTTCCAGATTTTGAAAAACAAAACACTCAAAGAAAGCGAGGTAAGCATCCAACTCTCTTCAGATTTCACACATACAAACGGTTTTGCTAACACAGGATCTGCTGTGAAGATGATATATTTCTGCGAACCCCTTCTGGAACCTCAACCACATAGGGTCACAATTTTCAATACAAGCCAGCGATTCTTTACAATTTGCTACATCTAAATATTTCTCTCAACCAGAAACCTGAGGTGGATATGGAATTTGTGATTTCGCATAAAATTGGATAAAAATGTTCGATTTCTTTGTGAATTTGCCAATACCAAAAGGTTTATCTATATTATATGAAGTATGGAAATGGAATACTTCGGCCGACTATATCTGGGATCTAACGCCCATTTCAACATTTTCTATAAATTATCACATATCTCATATAAAGTGAAGGAAATAACCAATGTAGTCCAAACCTGGCTGTAGACGAAATGGACAATATTGGACCATTGCTTTGGAACCTACTCCATATTTGAATAATCTTAATAGAAGTCTAAATATATTAAAATAATCGAACATTGACTGATACATCTGTCGGCAAAGCCAACTGATACTTTTTAACTTTTTAACTTTTGTTTTCAAACAAATGAATTGAAATATATATAATAAATAAATAACCTCGTCTTTTAATCATGGTTGTACCTTCAACTGCGATTGAGAACATACTATCATGGCCAGTTGAAATGGACCGGAGATATTAAAGAACGATTAACAAGCGTTCTAGTCTGCAAACAACTCAAATCTTTACACTTAAGATATCCGCAGATATTGCAGATAAAAGAAATGTTGATCATCAATCACAATGTTTAAAAAAATGTTATGTTAAAACCACAATGTTTTTACAAAATCTTTGTAATCTTTGTAAAAATTTCTTCCTCATATAATCATAAAATCCTTTTCATATTAATATTTTTGAATATTAAGCCTTCGATGCAAAAAAATTTATGTAAACTTACCTTGACTGATGATCAATAATAATATGAATTGTTCCTTGAACTTAATGATTGTTGATTGATGACTTTAAATGGAAACTTGAATTTTATGTAATGTGAATTTTTCTTGATTGATGTTGATTGGAGAACAAAAAATGCATTATAATTCTTGATGTTCTACAAAACAAAAGAGAACGCCATTGATGGCTTAAAATTAATTAAAGATTTTTAATTAAGATATTTTTTTGTTTATTTTTTAACATTTACCTTAAATAGGAAATTTTGTTCTTAAAATTAAGAAAATTTGTGTTAGTTTTAAATAAGAAATGCCAATAGAATTATTTAGAAGCCGTATTATGTTTTGTCATTTGTTCTGTGTTTACATTCGGACTTGGAATTTGCCAGCCTTTGTAATATATTTAACACCTTTGAAAGGTTTATACTTTTCACCGTACATATCTAAACGATTGACTTTAAGTCCGGATACAGCCATTTGTGAGATGGTAAATTGCACGTTTATGGTGGGATTGGATCCCAAACTAGGTGTGCCCGGAGGAATGGAGACCTGAAATGGCAAACATAAATTATTAAAAATATATTGTAAAAATGGAATTATTGCTCCTGGTTAGTGTTATAAATTTTAAAACATTTAAATTTCAAACAACAAAACTTACCGTTCCCCTAATGTTGGGTAAATTGGTAACATCTATGCGCCCGACTTCCCAGATCAATGTCTTCGATACCGAATCAAATGTATATTTTCCTTGATTTGGTGTCAATATACAATTCAAAACACACTTGGGCATAGCGATTTCCAGTTTTACCTTATCCACCGCACGACCCATAAGGGTACGTGTACCTACAGTTAAATCCAAACGTCCTTGTTCACCAGTTTTTATGGAGAAATTATGACGTATATAAATTGGTATAGCCACCACAGATTGTGAGCTAATGTGATAGGACATTAAACGGAAATTACCATCGGGTGGTATAAAACTCAACAAACGTTCTGCTTCCCAACGTTTGAAACGTACACAGGGATGGAATGAAACATCATCGAATAAACGTGGATTCATAAAGGACAGTGTGAGATCTGGCATTCCCGACAATTTGATACAGCAATCAATCTACGACAAAAAATATTTCGTTAGGCATTATCTCAAGAGAAGCATTTTCATGTACATACATATCCTTGAATTTCAGCAAATACCGTTGATCCAGATTTATCAATTATAGCATCAACTTCTTCTATAACATCAAAGTAGGCCTCATTGTTTGTGTAACGCACGCCACTTCTCCTCCATGGAATGGCGGATAATTGTCCTTGGGGCAAAGTTGTGCTAACACTGAAAAACATAAAAAAATATAAAAACAAGTAAAAAAGCTGTTCAATACCCTCCACCATCTGGAACGAATTTTTCATTTTTCAAAAAACAAAATCCGTTAAAAATTCTATTAAAATCCTAAAAATACCGATTGTAGCCGTTTTATTAGGGTATATACGACGACGTGGACCGGCATAGGCAATTTTTGCCAAAAGCTATTACAATATTCAAATGCGAAACTTGAAAAAATGGGTAAATAATGTAGCTTAAATTCTTAAAATACGGAATATAGGGAGGTACCATTATATGGGGGATATACCAAAACGTGGACCTGTGCAGACAATTTAAGTCATAGGCTGTTGTATCCATTTAGAACTTCAAATACCAAATTTCAAACAATTCCGGTGAATAATTTCTCTAAAATCGTCAAAATACCGAAATATTGTTAGGTACCGTTGTATGGAGCTATACGAAGACGTGAATCTGGACAGACAATTTTCTGTCATAGACTGTAGTATCCATTACGAACTTAAATACTAAATTTAAAGATCTCCGGTGAATAATTTCGCTAAAATCATCAAAATACCGAATATCGGGAGGCGCCGTTATATTTGGGCTATACCAAAACGTGAACCTGCATGGCCCATTTTCAAAACCAAAAGTCCTGAAGACATAATAAACATTTGAGTAAAATTTTATCAACCTACTTCATTTCGTTCGGAAGCTAGAGTGAATTTCATAGACGGACATCGCTAAATCGACATAGAATTTTAATCTGATCAAGAATATATACACTTTGTGGGGTCTAAAATGTATTTATCGGGGTGTTACAAACGGAAAGGATAGGCTGATTAATGCAATATTTTAGAAACTAACAAAAATTAACAATGAGCTAAAACCCTTGTTTACTTTTGCGATAGATCGATGCCAAGTACGAAATGTTGTTATACGGAAATTATAGGTTGCGACTGTAAGGTGTTGATAAGTTTTGGCTGAGCAGTATAAGTGGTATTTATTTATGGTAATTATTTTGCGATTCGGGCGCATTATGAATAGTGGCGTTCGCAACATCCTGATCTCAGTTGTACCCAAAATCACTTTCATTTGTCAAAGCTGCTCTAATTCTTTTCTTTTTACTTTTCTTACATGCCTTGGCAGAGGTTGCTTATTGATCAGATAATGTTTAGTAAGTAATGTTTCTAACACTTAAACAAGTATTGCATTGGCGAGTTTTATTGTGCACGCCTTTGCCTCCTCATATAGATGAAACACAGATGTGATGAAACTGCATCTTGGGACAGCGTTTTAATAGAATTGAATAATTCTCCATTGCTTTGAGCTGACATTGGCATAGACCAACCTTTGGCATTATAAAAGGCCACAATTGTTTTCGTATCAGCTCCCCAAAAGCTGCCGACAAGTGATTTGTATCTACTAAGGTCTTTGGGTAGCTTATGGTCGGAATTCATTCTAAGGTTATATCAACTACTTCTGCCTGAGGAAATACTGAAATTAAATCTTTATATTATAGGTATTCAGATTGATTTTCGAGTGGACAACAACGATTCAACTATTTATATGGGAATACTACATCATGATTCGTTTGTCCCTTGAAATATACTTACTTACTCTTGCCGGTCACAGTATTGGCAATTGTCCGCAAAATATTTGGTGGTTTTATCAACTCCTTTAGAATATTACTTTCAGTAGCCAATGGAAAGCCGTTATCTAACATTTCATCCAAAAGTTCATAGACCAGAACATAGTTTTCCTTGATTATCGACTCGGAACAGTCTCCAAAATAGTCTTCAAATGTGTCTATGACACGATGTAAAAATTCAATAACAAACAATGGTGGCACTTCTTGTTTGCAGGCGGCCACCAATGAAATGCCTTTACGTTGAACCGTAATTAAGTAGTAATGGGGTGTAGGAATTACGGGAGGCACATCCTGAAATAGAAGAAAATAAATGGAATTGTATGTTGGTCACAATATATGTATAATTACAATGAATAAGGTATTGTAAAGGATATATTGGGTCAGGGTGTTTAAAATTTAATAGGTTCAACATCGATGTTAAAAATTAACTGTGGAAAGTATAGATTCCCTTTACAAGAAAATTGAAATTGCAGGAGCAATTTCAATACGATTCCAATAGTCTGAGCTACAATTTGCAAGAAATGTTAGGGCCGTATTATCGACCTTTTACATTTAATAATCGCTTCATTAGTACTAATCATCATTTTCCAACTTACATTTTGGGAATTCCTTTGGGCATCCAAGAAATAGTCACATACGGAACGGGACACAACTGAACGCCAATGTTTTTCAAGAAAAACATCCCTGCCACAATAAAGAATAATAAAATCAATGATTCCGAAATAATCGTTCGCAACTCTCACCCACTATTGTTTACAATAAACACACTGTGTATCATTTTCCACTATTTTTAACAATATTTATCCAATTTTCCTAGATTTTCAGACTCTAAACAAAAAATTTGCCAACAAATTAGAGATGATAATATCGATAACCTATTTTATTGGTTAATAGTTATTATCGATGGATGGTTGTTTTTTTATCGATATTATCGTGTGAAGTGCCAGTACTATCCATACGTTTACAAAGAAGAGTAAAATTAAGTTCAGGTAAGAAGAGTATGGACCATGGTAGAAGAATACAGGTAGTCGCATCGACACAGCTGCTGAGACAATGAACTGTCAAACCGATTTTGATATTGAAAATCGTGAATGAAAAATTATTGAAATTTGTAAAAATTGTTCAAAAATACATATCATTACAACGTCCGATTTTCGTCGTATAAGACTTATTTTTGACAAAGCACTTAAAAATTGTTGACATATCAGTGTTCCCAAGCGTAGATGCATCTACCTATATTCTTCTACCATGGTATGGACAAATAAATTATATGTTCTCATACTTTTTTAAAGGTATATCCATAGTAAACTCAAAAACGTTAAGTCGTATCAAATCAGATTATCCTCCTCTGTATTTTCTGTAATTTACCTTGTAATTTTTCACTGTTTAAAAGACAGGTTCCCATCTCCGATTTCCGTGTATTCAAAAGATATATAAACAAGTAAAAAAGCAGCTGAGTTCGGCCGGGAAGAACTTTTAATACCTTCCACCATTTGAAAGGAACTTGAAAAATTTCAAAAAACTTCCAGAAATTACACTTAAATGAAGAATGTTATATTGAGACTATACGAAGACGTGGACCTGCTTACGAATTTTTTTAGCGTAGGCTGTAGTACCAATTACGAACTTAAAATACCAAATTTGAAAACATTCCAAACGTGAACCCACATTCGATTTTTTATACCCTCAGCCATATGGCTACAGAGGGTATATATCATTTGATACGGCCAAAACGTGCCTAGTCGAAATAACGGTTTTAGACCCTAGGTCTCTTTGGACCAAATCCGTTTCAGAACATTTGGAGTCGATCTAGCGATGTCCGTCCGTCCGTCCGTCTGTCTGTCTGTCTGTCTGGCTGGCTGGTGCGCACGATAACTCTCGAAGGGAGTATCCGATTTGGTCCAAATTGGCTACAACGTAATATTTTTGTCAAACTTAGATCGAGTTCGGAGATGGGCAATATCGGTCCACTCCTTCTGGTACCTCCCACAAAAGGTCGAAATGTTCAAAAATATATTTTTTGCACAGGAAGAGGAAGGATAATCCGAATTCGCTCCAACTTTGCAAATCCTAATATTTGCCTCAGTGCTAGGTCAGGTGTGAAAATGGGCAATATCGGTCCACTCCATCAAGTACCTCCGCCACAAATGGTCAAAATTTTGAATAATTACAACTCTCATAAAATGTTCGATTGTCTTCAAATTTCACACATCCCAATATTTATATTAACCCAAGGTCTGGTGTTAAGATGAACAATATCGGTCCACTCCTTCTGGTACCTCCCCCACAAAAGGTCAAAATGTTCAAAAAATATATTCTTTGCACAGAAAGAGAAAGGATAATCCAAATTTGCTTCAACTTTGCAAATCCTAATATTTGCATCAGTGCTAGGGCAGGTGTGGAAATGGACAATATCGGTCCACTCCATCAAGTACCTCCCCCACAAATGGTCAAAATTTTGAATAATTACAATTCTCATAAAATGTTATGTAAGAGTCCAACTGTCTTCAAATTTCACACATCCCAATATTTATATTAACCCAAGGTCTTGTGTTAAGATGAACAATATCGGCCCACTCCTTCTGTTACCTCCCCACAAAAGGTCGAAATTTTCAAAAAAAAAAAAAAACAAATTTTTTGCACAGAAAGAGAAAGGCTAATCCGAATTTGCTCCGACTTTGCGAATCCTAATATTTGCGTCAGTGCTAGGACAGGTGTGAAAATGGACAATATCGGTCCACTCCATCAAGTACCTCCCCCACAAAATATTGAAATTTTGAGTACCCATGAAGATCATAAATCGCCAACATCCGATTCCATTTAGACTTGGCATAATCTTAACACTAGTCAAAATATATATTTAGATAATCGAACATAGGCTGAGGGTATATCTCTGGCGGCAATACCGACTGATACTTTTTAACTTGTTTTTTTTTTTTTGTCATAGGCTGTAGTACCCATTATGAACATTAAATACGAAATTTGTTACGATTCCGGTGAATAATATCGCGCAAGTCATAAAAATACCGAGTATCAGAAGCTACCGTAATATGGGGGCCATACGAAGACGTGGACCTGCATACATAAGTTTTTGTCATAAGCTGTAGTACCTATTACGAACTTTAAATATGAAATTTAAAATATCTCCAGTAAATAACGTCGCTGAAATCATGAAAATACCGAATATCGGGAGGTACGGTTATATGTGGGCTATACGAAAACGTGGCCCATTTACGAACTTAACCTGCCTACTGGTAAACATGCATGTATACCAAATTTTAGCCTTCTATCTCAATTCGTTCGAAAGATTACAACAGACAGTCACATGGACATAGCTAGATCGTATTAGAATTTTACTTTGATCCAGGATATAAAAACTTTGTAGGGCCTATTAAAAATATTGCGAAGAGTAGAATGGTGGGTGGATGGTATAAAAAGAGTGGTGACGGCTTACCCTTAAATATGAGTGGCGGCGGAATGTCGCCGTTTATTAATTGACTTGCCCCCCTCTGTTCTATGGGCAATCGTTGCTTTTGTTTTGATTTTTTACCTTTATCACACATTCTCTTTTTAGTTATCGTTTCTAAAAACTTTGCATCTGGTAGAGGATTGGTCACATTCCCAACACCCATCCTTAAAATTTAATCATTTTTAATAATTAATTTAACAACAAACAAATCAATATCGCAACTAACGCCGAGTGGGGACCATGGGAAACAAACAAATAAAACAACATTTGGAAACGGCACAAAAGACGGGAATATTGAAGATTAGTTTGCAACGTTTACAGGAACTACCACCGCAGCTGAAAAATTATCCAAATGTTTTGAAAACATTGGATTTGTCACAAAATCGTTTTGAGAAAATTCCCGATGAAATTTGGCGATTTACGTTGATTAAACATTTCAATATGAGTGGGAATCGTATTGTCGATGTACCTGATGCACTGGGCGAGCTGATCAAATTGGAGGTGTTGCTGCTAAATGACAATATGATTGTGAGGATCCCGCGTACTTTGTCAAATTGTCAAAACCTAAAGACTGTAAATTTAAGTCACAATCAATTGACTGAATTTCCTGTGATGTTCTGTGGGCTCAAACATTTGGATGTTTTGGATTTGTCACGCAATAAGATCACCGCAGTTCCAAGTGAGGTAATTTTTGGTTTGGGAATTGTACTTATACAGAGACAATTTAAATTCTATAATTTAATGTTCCTTAGGTGGGCACATTACGTGTTACGGAGTTGAACCTGAATCAAAATCAAATTTCTGTGCTGGCTGAAGAGATTGCCGATTGTCCAAAGCTAAAAACGTTGCGTCTGGAAGAGAATTGTCTACAGGCTAATGCCTTTACACCACGTATACTTAAGGAATCAAAAGTATGCAATCTATTTGTCGACGGCAACCTATTTAATCCCAAAGAATTCAATCAACTCGATGGCTATGATGAGTATATGGAACGTTACACTCAAGTCAAGAAGAAAATGTATTAGGATGTGGTATTTTTGTTTTGTTTTGAGGGACAACTTAAAGTACGGTGGCACCTATTAAATGTTTTATGAATATATATATACACCCAGGACAAGGTTCAAAGTAATAATATTGTTATGAATGTTATTGAAAATAGCAATAACAAATAACCTTGTAATGGGATTAGAGGCGAAAAACTCATACTGGTGTACATACGATAGTTGTCCTTATTTTTTTTTTTTTAGTTTGTTTTCTTAGTATCGAAGTAAATAATCTATAAATAATCACTTGATATAGAATAAATGCAATTTAAGACAAAATACGAAACATATGACTCAAGCACAACCGCCATTGTTGGCCAGTCAACGATACTGCTTTTTTGTTAGCTCTTCACTATGGGTAATAAAACTTAAATAAATATTTGGATCATCATTCATTATTAAATTTTTTCTTAGCACATGTGATCGTCGTATGTATGTCGCCTGATTATCTTTGATATCTATTTTATTTGTATGCATGTATTTAGCTCTATATATTTTATTAAAATTTTATAAAATATATTATTGTATTTATTACAATCTACTGGAAATAAAATGAATTAATAGTCAATGTGAAACAAAAGGCTACCTGGAGAAAATTGCCTTACGCAATTTCTTGTTCTACTTTTTACATATGATAGATTTCGCTTATCCAAAAATCCTTCACAAAACTAATTATAATAAAATCATGTCACTTTTGACTAGAAATTGATTTTTTGGAGCACAAATGTTTAATAAGGATCGTGTCGATCGGAACAAAATATCCTGATTTTCACCAAGTTAAGGGCATATCAAATTCCGGAGAATTGCGTGGTTGTACCGTGGTGCTACGACATTTTTTTAATATTTGTAGGCGTTGTTGTTTTTTAATGTGTCTGTAGGACAGAGTTTCGGATTCCAAGAGGAATTTCAGTCAAAAGTTGTATGAAGGTAGCCGTGTCATGATCTTCCACAGGAGAAGGTTTAAGTAATGACGGAAGGTCCGAAGTGTGTATTCGAAAATGAAGCCTAGTCACACCTTGGCAAATTTTTAACGAAAGAGGATTTCGACTAAGGTCAATTTACACAGAATGCTTAATAATCTTTAAACTGTGATCTAACAGACAAGGACTCTATTTTCCCACTGTTTTATTAATTATTATATCGTCGACTTTACACTCAAAAATGTAAGATGTAGTGTTTACAAATTAACATGGACAGACGGATGGGCGGACATACATAGCTAGATCGACTCAGCTCGGCAGATCCATATATCCTTTCCTATGTCGAGGACCAATATTTCGGGGTGTTACATAATTTTTAGCCCAATCAAACTTATAATACTCCAACACATAGTGTTGTAGGGTACAATGATATCGACTTCAATCGTAAGTGTGCATGAGATCCATATAAATATTCTTCCAACAATGTAGTTTTCAGTAAAATATTAGCTTCAGATCAATGAGGAGGACCCGGTCTTAACAGCTTTTTAACTTTATTCCAAATACTATTTACTTTAAAGTTATTAATAAACTTCAGCAAAAGTTTCAATATTTCCCAATATACGAAAATATCAGAGTTTTATTCGTCCAAGGTGTCAACTTAGCCCATTCTGTAACAACAGTGGGCAAATATTTTTTTTTCAAATTTTAATATATTTTTTCTGTTTTACGGAGAGACATCTATTGACAGGAAAGTTCATTATTGATTCTGTTTCAGATTTGTGTCTGGGCTGGCCGTTATTACACACATTCACAATAGTCGATAAGTGTGAATAATTATTAAAGCCGTAAGGTATGCTTTAATAAAATAAAAAATATTTTCCTATTTTGTAAGTATGGTACAACAACATTGCACAAATTTTCAATAACATCATAAGCATGAGACGTAAAACCAAGCGAGCCTTAATCTCTTTCAAACATATATCAATATTGGAGATAGGCTTATATTTTCGACCATAGTGTATTTCCTGAAAAATCAATTTCTTCTCCCTTGCAATCGCACATCCAATGAGCGATTTTGAGTCCTCAACAGAAAGTAAGTTGCAAATAAGCAAAATATTAAGTTTGCTGAATAACACGAGCTCGGTCAGCAGTCCAATTGTTAAAACAATCATATGTCTACATAGGGTATATATCATTTGATAAGGTCAAAACCTGCGTCATCGAAATAACGGTATTAGTAGGTCCCTTAGGACCAAATTCGTTTCAGGACATTTGGAGTCGATCTAGGCGTGTCCGTCTGTCTGGCTGATGTGCACGATAACTCTCGAAAGAAGTATCCGATTTGATCCAAAATGGTACATCGTAAAATAGTTGTCAAACTTTGATCGAGTTCGGAGATGGGCAACGTGGTTCACACCTTCTGATAGATCCCCCACAAAAGTTTAAAATTTTCACAGAAAATAATTTACTACATGGAACACTAAAGGATAACCTTGTACAAACTTAGCAAGTCCCACTATTTGTATCTGTTTGTTATCTTTATTCTTGAAAGGAAACTTAATGTATATATTTACGAAACAAATCAAACATTTCACAAGGGTTGATAAATGTTACTTCAAACATATACATGTTGTATGGCGGATAACCAACTTCAACAGTATCAATTCTATGACAGGTGCGAAAATGGACAATATCGGCCCACTCCATTATGTACCTCCCACACAGAGGGTCAACATTTTCAGTATTTATAACTGTTATGAAATGTGAAATAAGCATTCAATTTTCTTCAAATTTCTCACATTTTAATATTTCTACTAGTACAAAATCTGATGTGAACATGGAAAATATCGATCCACTTCCTATGGTACCATCGCCACAAAGGGGTCAAAATTTGAATAACCATAAAGCTCATAAAATGCGATGTGTGCTTCCAATAACTTTTAAATTTGGTATTTATTGCAATCAACACAAGACCAGGTGTGAAGGTGGAATGCACCGGACCACAACTTCTAGCTCCTCCCCCACAAAGGGTCAAAATTTTGAATAATTACGACTCTTATGAAATGTGATGTAAGAGTCCGATTGTCTTCAAATTTCACACATTCGAATATTTTTACTAACCTAAGGTCTGGTGTGAAGATGGGCAATATCGGTCGACTCCTTCTAATACCTCCCCCACAAAAGGTCGAAATTTTCAAAAATATATTTTCTGCACAGAAAGAGAAACGATAATCCTTATTTTCTCCAACTTTGCAAATCCTAATATTTGCATCACTGCTAGGTCAGGTGCGAAAATGGACAATATCGGTTTACTCCATCACGTACCTCCCCCACAAACGGTCAAAATTTTAAATAATTACAACTCTTATAAAATGTGTATTGAATTGTGACATCCCAATAATTTTATTAATCCAAGGTCTGGTGTTAAGCTGGAATACATCGGTCCACTCCTTTTGGTACCTTCTTCACAAAGTGTCAAAATTTTGAATATTCATGGAGTCCATAAAATGCGAAATTATCATCTGACTCCATTCAGACTTGGCACAACTGAATATTTCTATCAACACAGGATCTGTTATAAAGGCTGTAAAGATTGGACCATTTCTTCTGGTACCTCCCCCACAAAGGGTCAAAGTTTAGAATAACCAAAGCGTTTAAAAAATCCGAAATAAGCATCCGGTTCCCTTCATATTTCACACATCCCATTATTTCCACTAACTAAAGATCCGCTGTGAAGATGGGATTTATCGGCCCACTTCTTCTGGTACCACAATTTTGAATATCTATGAAGCTCACTAAAGTTGTCCAAAAGTTGAGACTTTATGAGAGAGTAATGTCCCCTTGTTAAACAAAGGCTGATCTAGACAAAGAGAAAACCATTTCATTTTGTGAATTGGACACCGATGCTATAAACAGTCCTACTCAAATCGGCGTGCTAGCACATGAGCCAAAAAAATATATATTTAAGAGAACAATAACAATTCTATTTTTCTTTATATTTATCCATTCATTACAATTGTTTTTAAACCTGGATGTTTTGCAAAATTATTAATAAACCTAATTAAACCTAATTAAACACTAAACACTGTTTTTTTTTTGTTAATTGAAAAAAAAATGAGAAAAAGTGGACTGTTGAGCGAGTTTTTGGTTTTTTTAGCACCACTGCTATAAAGCCACCTTCAGCTTATCTAGAAAGACTTCATTCACCTCGTTTAGAAAGTTCAGTTCCTCTAGACATGTTTTAAAAAAATTTCGTTTACATCAAAAGGTCAAAGCAATTAACACCGAGTTAAGATGCAAAACTCGTTTGTTTAATGAAAAAGTTAGAATATTTGTTTTTGTTTTTTTTTTTTAATTTCTTGGAATATCGTTGACCGCTTACGTCGAATTTGTTTACATTGAATATATATTATATAATATATATATTTAAATATATACGTCAGTTAAATTGCGGAAAATAACCAAAAAAACAATATAATTCGATTCGATTTCGACAAAATTCGATGGACAAAAATAAACATTGTTTGAAAAATATTTATAGGTCAAGAAATAAACTGTTCTGTCTCTGAGGGGTTGATGAGGTAGATGAGTCCCGAACCAGTTCTCATCTCGTCGGAGAATTAAATAAGATTGTTTTTTGTTAATATCTAATTCATTAATTAATAATAATATTGAATCAGCAAACGTGTGACTTCTGTTGTGGTTGATCTATAAAGCAAGATTGATTGAGGCAGACAGAAAGGAAAATTACTCGAAATTATTTTTTTTTTTAAATGTTTAATTGAAATTTTTAACAAAAATGCTTTACTTTTGCGTCAATAAAAATAATTCCATCGATGAAAATAAAAATAAATGCGACAGATGTAATGAATTATGAAGAAAAAATAATAAATAAATAAAAAATGATAAAAAAGCAAATTAACAATTTTTACAATCTGTGTGGGGTCTTGTCAATCAGATTGAATGATTTTTTTCGATATTTAGAACAGTTTTAATTTAATTTGGTGGAAAACGAGCTTTTTGCCAACTATGAAAACTCTCTTAGTCGGGTATTGCCGACGGATGTATACCCTCAGCTTTTGTCCGATTATTTAAACATATTTTGGCATCCGTATTTATTATTTATCATGTTGAGCCTTTATAGTGGATGTTCCGAAGGAGTTGGCCAATATTGTCCAAATCCCCTCTGATATATGTCTGATATAAATATTACACCGAGCCATGTTTGGACTATATCACTTGATATGAGATATGTGATAATTTTTAGATAATGTTGGGATGCCAGATATAGTGGATCGATTCATCATATATCACTTCATCTAATATTAATAAAAAATATTGGGACCTGCAAAATATAAAGAAATCAAACATTGATCTCAAATTTATGGGAAATTTTAACTTTTTGTTGAGGAGGAGGTATCAGAGGGAGTGGGCAGAAAAATTAATTCACATCACATCTCTAGTTTAGGGAAATAGTAATATATACCAGGTTTGAATAGAAACGCTGACTTGTTTCGCAAGTTATGAGAGATTTAAGTATTTAAATTGTGATCTTTTGTGGAGGAGGTACCACAAGCTGTAGGCCGATATCATATTCCCACAATATCTTGTGTTAGTAGAAATATTGAGATGTGTTGGGGAGATACCAGAGTAGATCGAT